GTAATTTATATCTTAGTATCAGTTCTTGCTAATTTTTTTTCTTATCAACTACTTCGTTTTATATTGCCGACGATTTGTTTTCTGAAGAAGTTTCAGCCGAAAGGTGCCTTAAACCTTAAATCTTAAACGTGATAATTTGTAGCTATTTTAATAATAAAATTATGATCCCTGTCCTCAAAATTATTTTATCCTGGTGAGGTAACAAAAACCTGTTTATAAAGTCCATAAAGTTCGGGTGCACTTTATAAAATTTATAACTTTATTTGTATTTGCGATAGAAATAATCAGTAAAAAAATGTTATAAAGTTTAATGTACCTAGTTTTAAGTATAGTTATTGAATAATTCTTTACCACAAAATTTGCAACAATTTTTAGGTATGTAAAAAAATATATTCTTTTTTCCAGAATCAATTTGATCCATGGCTTCAACTGAGGAAAAAGTAAAATGTGTCCTTTGGTTGGTTGAACTGAAATCTACTATTGCTGTACAAAGGAAAGTTTAGTATTAAACACAATAAAGAACCACCTCATAGGAACACTATTGCTAAATGGATGAAAAAACTTAAAGAGACAAGCTCCGTCCATGATAAGCCACGGTCTGGAAGGCCATGTATCATCAACGAAAGTGTTGCATCCATAAACTTCAATAAAACCTTAAAAATTTATATATTTACTTCTTTCTAATCCTTTTCACAAATTATTTCTATCGCAAATACAAATAAAGTTATAATTTTTAAACGAACCTTATGGACACCCTATATATATATATATATATATTGCAAACGAACCTATGGACACCTATATATATATATATATATATATATATATATATATATATATATATATATATATATATATATATATATATATATATATATGTATATTATATATATATATATATATATATATATATATATATATATATATATGACATTACAACACAGTAGAAAAAAAATTGCATAGTGGATAATTTTTTTCACGTTCTAATGAACGCTAATCATGACTGTCAATCGTTACATTTGAAAGCAGAAAGAAAATGACATGAATGGATATCAAAAAACAGTTTTGTATTACTATTTTCACTCGTGAACAATACACAGTTTTGTATAACTACGTACACCACTGAAGATGATCTCGGAAGAAGATCGAAAGTACTTAGAAAATGGAAAATAAAAAAACGATTTTCATAGTTATAGAACATTTCTCGCATCATTTGATTGCAATACACGGAAGGCTATCCATGAGTATAAACGGATTTTATTAAAAAACCAGACATAATGTTCGTAATTTATTTAATCAGACATGCCTAAACAAAATTTGCTGCCTAAATACACAAATATATATATATATATATATATATATATATATATATATATGTGTGTGTGTGTGTGTGTGTGTGTTTAGGCAGTAATCTTTATTTCATGCACGTTTCATTGAATATTACAGACAAAATGACTTGATTTAGTTTTTCATTCAAGTTCTCATGTGATCTTGTAATTTTTTCTTTATTGGTAGACAAATTATATAAAACTGTCCAATTGTTCTTCCTTTCCGAGCGTTTTCGGCTATACATTTAGCCATTTTTAAGGTTGAAATATATTATCTGCTAACAAGAACTAGATAGCTGCATGTATGTATTTATATAATGTTTTCATTTTCAAAACACGGTCAAGACATTGTGTCCATGTTCATAGTTGATATTATTGATTGTTGTTTTTTTTATTTTATTAATAAGTCTTCCATTATTTTTGGCCTTTTTAAAATGTGGACGTTATTAGATGTAGAAATTATTATATTTGTGTTTTCAACAAGTATCTTACGAATAGGGTCCAGTAGGTCCCCATGAGTATTTAAATGAAACCTAATTGAGCTATGGTCAGAAAGATGTAGTGTAAGTCTTCTTGTCAGATATGTTGTAGTGTGGCTTATATAATTGGAACAGTTTTGGAACAATTAAATAGTTTTTATATAGTCTGTCTAACCAAAACAAAAAATTATAAGATCACATGAGAAATTGTATAAAAACTAAATCAAAGTACCTTGTTTTTCATATTCAATGAAACGTGCATCAAAATATATATATATATATATATATATATATATATATATACATTTATATGTGAACATTGAAGTCAGGCGGCCTGATGATTGCGTCTAGCATAAAACAGCCTGTTGCCTCTGAGTGTTGACTTCAATGTTCACTTTTATATATATATATATATATATATATATATATATATATATATATATACACTCTATATGATATTGAGCATTTTATCCCATAAATATAGCACACCTTAAAACTATATATATATATATATATATATATATATATATATATATATATATTACAGTGAACTCCATAGTGAACATAGAAACGTTAGTAGACCTTGGCTCAGATATAAAGATAAACTGAAAAGCAACCTTTCTTGCGTCAACATTCCATTCAAGAACTTTGAAGAGGTAGCTATGAAGAGATCTGCCATTCAGTAATAATGTACCATAAAGAAGTAAGCATCAGTCGACTACGTGAAACACGAAAGCAAAATAAGACATCTAATATTATTCCTGCTGCACTTCGATACAATACATTCTCCTGTACTGTTTGTGGTTTTTTGTGCAATTCTGGAGCCGGTCTCAAACGTCATGCCCGTCATAGGCATGCAGATAATTGTTCGTGGTCGTTAGAACTTCATTCGTGGAACTCGACGGGAGAATCCATCACCATCATATATATATATATATATATATATATATATATATATGAAGAAATATAGTCTTAGGAAGTGATATATTTATGAGATAAAGTGCTCAGTGTCAGATATAGGGCGTGTGTAAATATATTAAACTGTCTGACGATTGTGTCTAGCATGAAACAGACTGTCGCCTCTAAATGTTGACTTAAATGTTCACTTATATATATATATATATATATATATATATATATATATATATATATATATACAAACGTCAGGACTATAAAAATAGAAAATCAAATTTAAAAAAAGAAAAAATACCGAATTAGACATAAGGATTAAAGACATTTGTTACTATGCGAACCAAGCTTACGTCGTCTATAATTGGCCTGAGAGTTGTAAGCAATTATGTTTATATCTTGTAACCCTACTTGCTCTATAAAACCGGTGATCAAGTCTAGGATCGAGAGTGCCACCAGAACAAGGAAAGTTTGGCCGAAAATATTTCATGATCCTATTCTACTCAACCTGTTTCCTTTCGTGCTTCTTATATGAATTCCTTGAACTACAGCATATTGGGATATCGTTATGCTAGAGATCACTGAAGGCCTACATTGTGTATATAATCCTTCAACATGAATGGTAAACTCCTGATAGTCGAATGGAATCGCTTCCCAGACAATCCTCAAGGCAAACGACAATTTTATTGAATACTTATTTCTGGTTTTATTATCATTTGAACATTTGAATTGCATTTTTATTGCTCATTTTGTGAAAATATAGTAACTGATCTAGAAAATCTTTGACTTTTCTCTTTATTACTTGCTAAACATGTATAACCAGCTTGACAGTGGACAAAAGACTGTTCGGTAGCCGTGGTATAAAGAAAACTAAAGAGAAAACTGTCAGCTGTCAATATGTCTCATATTAACTTCGGACGAGTTGCCTTGGATAGTAATAACTGGAGATATTTGTGCCAGAGTGATATATGAAATATCGAAATCAGTTGTATTGACCGGCTACGAGACGAAAAACAACGGCAAAAGCGTCAGCAAATGTTCCTGTTGGTATGTCCCGAGATCCACGCTGTTGCACAATATGTGGAATTGTATGCGGGACTGAAGTGTCCCATACGACACAAACATAAAAACTGAGCGAGGTTATTGGATCCTCATACGTCGAAATGGTCAGGAGAATCAATTATAAATGGATATGCATTGTGGTGTAATGGATATCAGGCTCAGAGTGAGAAATCGCAGAGCCGAGTTCGAATTCCAGTCAAGTTTGTTAGATTCATTTACCCTTGTGTAAGTGAATCACAAATACCCTCAGGAAATCTGTCTCTTCTCTCCCTAGCGGAATAGCAGAACAGACTGTTCTTTAGCCTTGGCTAGCAACCACTCTCTCACAAAAAGAACTGGCAATCTACCGCGGGAAGAACTCTGCCTCGTCAGTCATGTATCGAAAGATACATGATTGCCCAAGCGCATATCATGTATGGCACTTAACTCACTGACTGATTGGCAATTAATATTAAATCGTGAATGTGGAATGTTCCTTTAAATAAATCCGACATATGCAATATAACAACACGAGAACAACATTATCGAGGAGACCTACATTACAATATTAATTGATAATACAAGTACACTCCACCATGAAAGTAAAAAAAACTTAAATAAGAATACAACCAACACTAAATTAGATTAATTATGAATATTGTAACAATGTATTAATATGTATTAATATATCTTTTAAAACGCTTAGATTGTAATTTTTTAAAAGCAATACAATTTTATAAAGTAAAGTTACCTCCTTTAGATAAAATATAATAACTTTAACAGTTTATTTTTAAATTAATTATAATGGAATGCGTTAATGCGTGGTTATAAATATGACAGAGAACGTTTCATGCGGATTTACAAAATAATTCACAACTATCAATTACATTAATTTTTGTTTTAGCAATTCTATCATGAACATAATCTTGGATGCGAGTGAAAGTACTTGCGAAAATAAAAAATGAAAAAAAAACACGGCGACTTCCTTAATGAATCTAATAACAACAAGAGTTTGATCAAAGAATTCTAGATGATTAAAATGAAATAAATATAATATATCCAGATTATTCAAAATATACTGCCTTAATATATATATATATATATATATATATATATATATATATATATAAAGCAATTCATGTTAATATATTATCAAAGACAAGTACAAAACAATTATTTTACCACTGACACAAGTAATTCGTATTTGAATCCAAGAAAAATGGGGATTTAGAAAGTTACACACATGTGCAACATTATCTATCTATGTCGATCTGTTCTTATCTCTCTCTCTCTCTCTATCTATCTATCTATCTATGTCAGTCAGTCAGTATCTATCTATCTTTCTATCTATGTCAGTCAGTATGTATGTATGTATGTATGTATGTCTGTATGTATGTATCTATCTCAGTCAGTCAGTATCTATCTATCTATCTATCTATCTATTTGTTTCTCTTACGCTAGTTTTCAGTGCTGGAGTTCAGTTAAAAAATGTCAATTCGAGAGTGGATTTCCAAAACCAACAAGGGTAGTATTTCTAGAAAACTACAATATTATAATCTAATGAGAAATGCAATATTACACTTTTTCCATGTCTTGAATAAGTTTGCCAATATTTGGAAAAGAGATTTTCTTTCCGTGTGCAGATATATTGATAAAAGTATTTTCCCTTTTATAATTTCTATCTTCTTCATCTGTGTCATTCTTTTCGATTCGTTCAATATTGAAATGCACTGAATAAATGAAACCAAATATTAGAAGTTAAAGTGGTCGAATAACAATTGTATAGATTATTATTTTAATGTTGAGTAAACAAAATCGAAACCCTACTGAATAAATTAGCTAAACAATGAGGAAACTTGCTTTTAATTCGCAAATTATATATTCGGTCAAAATATATCGATGAACAGAAATATTAGAATAAGTGATATGCGACAAGAATGAAAGCTACGCTTTCATAACATCTGTGCATATCAATCAGGGTTATATAGGCAGGTAAGCCGATCTCAAGAAGATTCTTTTGATGTACTCTATGCTATAGTTACAGAAGAGAAAATATTTGAGAGCATAGGTTAGAAGACAAAATTATAGTATTTTGAAAGTGACATATTTCGCTATAAGACCGAGACAAGAGTTTTACTGTGGTACCATAATTGCAGATAATTTTAATCGATATATAGTAAATCTATGTTTGTCCATTCAGTGTACCCATGCTAACCAATGTCGTATGGATGACAATATCTACAATGGGAACAGAGGCGTCGGAAGAGGAAGTTTTAACAATGGGAGAATGTCGCTTATTTCAATTTTAGGGAGAAAAGGACTGAGTAAAGTTGTTTTGTGATCAAACGAAGGTGCAACATATTATTAAGCAAGTGACGTAATGTAATAAATGTATAAAATTAGAGTTAATTCTTTTACACACGCACAACCACACGGACAACATATATATATATATATGTGTGTGTGTGTGTGTGTGTGTGTGTGTGTGTGTGTGTGTGTGTGAATATTGTATTATAGTTATATCTGAATTTTTTACACGCACACACACCTATATATATATACAGTGGGGGAAACAAATATTCCTACACATGCAAATTTTTAATTTATTGTACTTCCAACTAATGAATAAGCATACTTTTCATATAATTAACTGAATGCAGGTGCATAATAACTAAATATGATTAAAATTATGGATTAATACCAAGGATGTCATCAATTGGTTTACCAATATCAATAATAAACCTGATTGCACCATAATACAGTTCGATATTGTGGATTACTACCAGTCAATATTAAGGGATCTGTTCACGACTGCCCTGGAATTTGCTGCTGTGTATTCTGACCTGAAAAAAGATAAAATGAATATAATTCTCAGTGAAAAAAAAAATCTGTCCTCATTCGTAATGGGGACTAATGGATTAAAAACAATGATGACCATTTTGACATCACTATGGGATCTTTAGACTCTGCAGAGTCTTCTGACCTTGTCGGTCTTTTAATACTATACAACCTAACCGCGCAATGTGAATTAGATATTAAGGACATCGGGCTGTACAGAGATGACCGGCTCATGGTAATGAGGAGTTCCACTAATTTTAAAATCGAGAAAAATTGGAAGATTATATATTGTGAATTTAGAAAACTCAATTTAAAAACAACAGCCTGTACAAAATTAAAAAGGGTAAACTTCCTCGACGTAACTCTGGATTTAATAAACAACACATATCTACCTTACAGAAAGCGTAACACTAACCCCTTGTATGTACACCCTAAGTCAAACCACCCTCCATCCATAATTAAGCATATACCCTCATCAATAGAGAAAAGAATCAGCATTAACTCCGCTAATAAAGAAATATTCCAACAACACAGTAATTTTTATAACACAGCCCTAAAAAATAGCGGATACAAAAATGCTAACATCAATTATAGAAACAATTGTACTAACCAGAAGAAAAACAGGAATAGAAAAATCATTTGGTATACCCCTCCGTTCAACTAAATGATTAGTATTAAGCTAGAACATACATTCCTAGCTTTAATTGAAAAACACTTACCTACAAATAGCAGACTTAGTAAAATCTTTAATAAAAACACTCTAAAATTAAGTTACAGTTGCACTGAAAATCTAGAAAGTATAATAAAAAAAAACACAATAATAAAATCCTGAATAAACCCCCATGCCAGAATAATATTAATAAAAACCCTAAACTTAAATTAGACAAAAATAGTGAAAAATTGTGTGTGTGTGTGTGTGCGTGTGTGTGTGTGTGTGTGTGTGTGTGTGTGTGTGTGTGTGTGTGTGTGAAAATACATAGAAATAGGAAAGAACTCGTTAAGTAAAGTTCTTTAGTATTTTTGTTATTATTTTTAAAAAACAGTGCTCGATACAAAATAAAATTATTTATTTAAAAATATGATTCCATCGCTACATAAGAGTTCTCATGTTTCAAAACAAGAGCCGAAAACTTCAATATAATTATTTGAATTAAATTGAATTAAAGTACCAAGCTCTGTTCCATCTTCAAGCAAAATTTTTGGAATAACTAATTCTTGAAATTTACGCGTTTTATAAGCATATTCATTATAAAAATTAAAATTACTATGGTAACGGCTAGAGTAATTATTTATAAAACGGGGCGTAATGGTTAATAATTTGTATCAATATCTCAGTTACATTCAAAGAGGTCAAGTCAGAGTAAGGTTGTGGCGTCTAAATTTAAAGCGGAAGATGACATATATGTTGAGAGGTCAATGACGAGAGAAGATTCGCTTCTAGGCACTATTTCAGTCTTTACTTTTGGCTAAGTTTCTCTTTAGCTCAGTCGATTAGAACGTGTCGAATCTAATAACCTCCCTCTGCTCAGGTGGAAGAAGATTTTAATCATTTCGCAGAGCCTATATTTTATACACTACATTAGCCGGGATACTGTCCTCATCTTTGTCGCCATATTTATTACAACGTTTCAGCCGTTGTGCATCCAGCCTTCTTTAGGTGGTTGGAATGTCAAACTGAACCCTTTATTTCACTCACTGGGGTAGACTGTTCTAGTTCCACATGTCATGTCTAATGGACGTCGATTATCAGGTGTCTCCTGTTTAATTAACGCCTTTATCCACTGTGTCATGTGTCCTCAAGGACACTTGGCACTGTACTTAAAGGCGATAGTTAGATCCAGTGACAGGACCCAAAGAGTGCGAGTTCAATACCAGGTTAAGGCGGTGGAGAACTTGGAGAGGGTATTTCCAATTATACCCAATTTCACTCACAAGGCTTGTGTCAACCCGTGGTATGTTTTTCAGGCACTTTCCAAGGATGCCGCACGCTGGGATCGACATCGATCCATTCCGATAACATCTGAAAGTCTCCTGACAAATCGACCATGGTGAGATTCGAACTCCGGTTTCATGATCAGAAAGCAGAAATATATATATATATATATATATATATATATATTTGTGTGTGTGTACACATACATATATATATATACAAACACACAAACATATATATATACATATATATACACATACATATATATATATATACATACATATACTCATACATATATAGACATAAATATATATATATATATATATATATATATATACATGTGTGTGTGTGTGTGTGTGTGTGTGTGCGTCTTTAGGTCCTTATGTCTACAAATATTTTCCTAGCAACTCTTCTGGGAATGAACTTCAACCTTGGGGCAGTGTGACAAGCTTAATTGATAAGGGGCCTACGCGGGCTCTTAAAAGTTAAGTTGTCTCATATGATCTGATTGATGGAAATACGCATTTCGGGCACTTCATAACACAGTCGCAGACAGAAATCAAAATACCTGACCTAAATGTTAATAAAAACTGTTTTTATAATGATTTTATCATTCATACTGAGGCCCTTCACTACAATAAGCTTCACTTAAATGTTCGCTTTTAGATTTTTGCTGTTTACAAAAATATAAAGATTGTGTCCTCTATTAAACAAACGAAGATTCTAACTTGATTCATTTGTCACGACTTTGAACTTTGCTATAAGATTTCTTTTAAAACACAAAAATGACATGCATAAAGCCCAAAGCAACGCGTTTTGCAATCGAATTCGCCACTCCTTTATATTCAGATGAGTCTCATTTCGCTTATTAATTGAAATTCAATTTAGACAATGTACATATCGAAAGTTAAATACGTACGTGTATGTGAGAGCGCACGTATCTGTGCAGGTATATTTATATACTTGTGTGTAATTCTAGTTATAAACTAATCAGCAAATATGCTGAGGTGCTTATGAAAATTCTACAATAAAAAATGGATCGATACATGCTGACGCATTTATTAGATGAATTAAAATCTGACATTTATATTGCCATCCTTTCGATATACGTAATTAATTGAAAAGAATTGGATTACGTGCATTGACAAGGAAATAGATTATGTTGAAATATATGGGTGTAAATTATTTTAACTAATTACTGTTGTATACTTAAAGAGACAAACAGACAAATGTGGTACTCGAAGGAACAGCGACACGCGCGTAGATGAAAAAAGAGAGCTTTATTGTAAAAGAGAAAACACTACTGAAAGACAGGCTAGTGGCAAGCTAGTAATTCCCGAAGCGAGGTTATTTATCTCACCCCACCCCCGCGAGGTAGGATGTGGCACAAGGCCGTTATTTAATGCAAGGTAAAACCGAGCCCGTAAACTCGGGCGAAAATTCCCCGTAGACCCTGTAAAAATGGGGTCGGGTAGCTGTCTACCTCCCCAGACGAGACTCTACCCTTTGTCACAGCCGCTTCTGAGTTCCTCTCTGCCCGAAGGCAGAGAGTTCGACTAGCTTAGCTGGAGACGACTCTCCAACTAATTGCTGAAGCAAGTCCCTAAGTATATCCTGTGCTCACTATATATAGCTACTGATATAGTCAGTCCACAGCCAGGCGATAGGGAGTGTGGGACATTCCATTAC